TCTTCTGCGTTTGATCATCACTGTTCCTGCCATTTATCCATATCAAGTATCTCCATCTAGGGTCACCAAGAACCTTTGGTTGCCTGGAGGCAAGAATTATTATTCCAATTTTACAGATGGGTAAGCAATCACAGAAGGGGAACAGCAGGCTTGGGCTCACCTAGGCGGTCTCTGCGAGAGTGGGGAAGGAATATCCCAGTCTTTTTAGAGAACCTTAAGTCTGTGCGAATGAACACAGGGATCCTACTCAAACACATCTGCAGACTCAAGATGGTGATGGTGAGAAATCCCAAACAATGAAAATATTTTCAAAGCTCAGTTCATTTATTTGATGTTTTGAAATTTTGTATTGGAATCCACCAAATTCCAGACAATGAAGTCATACAGCCTTGGCAGGTCTAAATATCACAGTTGTTCAAAACTGGGAGGAAGGCGGAGTGCCCCAGTTTTTAGAACCTCTACTTCAAGTGAACATAGAGAAGGCTCACTTATCAGTTTCCTGACCAATTAGGTCACTGGGCAGGAAATCACCTTTTACAAAGAGCCCTAAGCAGATTCTTCCTACTTTAAATTTCCCATAAACAGCAGTAATGGTCATTTATGACAGCCCTCACATGGTTATGCTAGAAACTTGAAAGACAGGAGGAAAATAAGGCCATGAGTGTATAGTAACTGACGGCTTCCTCATCAACCTGTCTCAAGTGATTCTACCAACACAATCACCTTAGATTCTTGTGAAGTGGTTAGAGTTTAAGCCTCTGACCAGGGAGGGTCAGTTCTAGGCCACCTGACTTTACATGAATCCAGTTCCTGGTCCATTTGAGCAATGCTAACTAAATGACTTGCCAAGCCAGGGCATGTGCTGTCTGTGGAAACCTCTTGCCCTGAGCACCAGAACAAAGACAGAGGAATGTGGAGCTTGAGTGATATGTGGGGTTCAGATGAGTGATAGGATGCCTTGTCACTGCTGTTCCTGAGATGGGCCTTTGGGCAATCCAGGACCTTCTGGGACTCCTGTAGACAGGACAATAACTAGATAGCTGATCTTCCAGACATGATGAGCCCAGAGAAGGCTAATCAAAGTAGGGGTTAACAGCTGAGTTTTGAACCCTAGCTCTGTCTGCCATTAACCAATCATGTGACTTTGGGGAAGTGACTTAATCTCTCATAGCTTAAGTCTGTCAATAGAATTGATAAGGGTGCCTATCTCATAGGCAATTGTGAGAATAAAAATGGTGTACTAAGATATGAAATTCAAACAGTGTAAGCCCTCTCTATTTGAGGAGCTTCTGTAGTGCCTAGAATATGGTACCTCTAAAGGCATTGCCTTCATCGTGATTAACTGTCAAGGCCTTGCAACACTTGTAAGTGCTTAGGAAACATGCATCCTCAAGGTTACTTTTTCAGAGTTTTCTATGGAAGTTTTTTTCTGTAACTTGCCCCTGTGATCCTTGATTAGAACTGAGGTTTACCTGTTCAAAGAACAGACAAGTATCTGCTACACATCTATCCCTTTCTTGGTACAGAGTTTTTTTTTTTTTTTTTTTTTTCCTTTTGGTTGCTCTAGTTTTGCTTTTTAATCATTTGCTTATTTATTTCCTTTTATGGAATTTTTAAAAGAGTTGCTCCTGCCCTGACTGTGGCTCTAATCTCTAAAAACATCCTTTGCTTCATGTAGAACTGGGACACTCCTCCAGTTTTATCACCACCAAAAAAAAAAAAAAAAAAAAAAAAGTTTTAAGTTCTTAACCAATTAGTAACTCCTAATTATTCACTTGTAGCCTTTTCTTGGCAAACTGCAAGGCCTAGCCTCATTTAATCCTTTCTCTTAGCAGACATATAAACAGCTAGCTTCTACAGTTTGCTTGAAAAAAATGCAAACCTATTAATTTTAGCTTAAGGTAGAATTAAGAATGTAAATATGCTTTTTAAAACAAGTCTATAACATGGTTCAGCATTTAGTGGAAATAACTCACTAGTCATTTAATCAGTGTAAGCATCCTTGTGTTAAGTGACTCAGGCCTGCTGGCACAAACCAGGCATGCCTCTGGCTCTTTTATAATGCATATTAATCAAAAACCACACAAATAACATACCACAATATAAATGGAGGCAAATGAGAGAAGTTTTTTTTAAAGTATTATGGAACTTTAGAGGAGGAAGACACTAATTATTTCTGTGATGGTAAGAGAAGCTGGCATTTGGAAGGCAGCTCTGGACACAGGATAGACATGTGGCCAGACCACATTAGGCCAACTTTTATGTGTGGTGCTGTGGAATTGAACCTAGGGCCTTGTATGTGCTAAGCAAGCATCTACCACTAAGCAATATCCTCAGCCCAAGGCAGCATTTTTAAATCAGAAAAATTAACACAAAATACTTATTTTTAGCTTCTCTTTTTAAACATCAGAAGAGGAGATGGAAAGATAATGTCTCAGCAGTTAAGAACGTTTGCTGCTCTTACAAAGGACCTGGATTTAGTTCCCATCACCCACATGGTGACTCACAACTGCCCATAACTCCACTTACAAAGGACCTGGTGCCCTCTTCTGGCCTCAGAGGGCATCATGCACACACACGGTGCACATGCATACACACAGACAAAACACTCATACACATAAAAATAATTTCCAAATTAAGGAACTATCCTAGGTCTATTAACACAGGAATGGGTAAAGAAGACACAACATATAATAAATACATGGAATTTTTTTCAGCCATGAAAACTAAAATTATATCAGTAAAATGGATACAATTGGAGATATTAAGTAAATTGAGTCCCCAAAAGGCAAATAATGCATAATTTCTCTTCCTCATGGTTCCTAGATTTTATGTAGATCCATAAAAATCATTCATATATATACATATATATGTATATATGTATATACATATATATATATATATATATATATATATGCACACATAAGGCATGCATATAGAAAGGAAACCATAAAACTGACTAATGAGGAGGGAGAAGAATGAAGACAAAGGTAGAGGGATATGGGTGAATGTGCTAAAAGTACATTACATACTTATAGGAAAATGTGTGACCCTGTACCATGAACAAAGAGCATACACCAATGGAGGAGGGGGGCAGATGGGGAAGGAAGATTGAAAGGTTGTGTATCTCAAGAAAATTGGAATTGAGTTCATCTCTGATGTAATAAAGACCTGGCCTCTTACTCTGTGTGGACCCCAGGGAACCCTGTGTGGCCATGGCCAGTTGTGTTTTCTTTTGTTTTCCCCTGTTTCATACTAAATGCTGAAGAGCCATTGAGTGGCTATGAAATTAATGTTCGTTAGAAAGAGGGCAAAGAAGCCCCCATGGTAAAGGTCAACAGAGGAGGCCAGGAGACTCTCTGGCAAGGAGCAGGGAGCTTTATCAACTGCTGACAAGAGGTCAAGGATGATGAGGACGGAGAAGTAAAAAGGTCACAGCAAAGCCATTCAGTGAGGAAGCTCAGAGGGGTGAAGTCGGGGGAGAGGCAGGAACAGAAGATAAAGCCCCAGAATGCATTGTTCAGGCATTGGCGTCTCATCCTCAGGTATGGAGAACTACTAAGGATTAAGTCGGGGGAGGGGGCAAAGTGATCAGATTCCCGCAGGCCTGATTATTTGTTTTCACCTTCATCTGTCCTTGTTTTGGATTGTATACACAATGAACCAGGCTCACTCTAAAGTTTACTCTTTTCTATTCTATGTTAAGTAAAACAAATCTTCAGATCCTCTTTAAATCCCCTTATTGAGGATATTGAGGATATTGTTATTGATTTCCATATAATTCATTTGTTGTCTAACTGTAGGGTTCCAGAACTGCTGTATTGTGAGGTGGGTAGACCTTTGCCATAGTTCTGTTCCATTCATTGCAGCAACACTGGCCTCTACCTTCTGGGTGGCAGTAGCCCTCCCACTAGCCATTAGCCAACAAAATCTCTTCTAGCTAAGACCCACTGAACATCATTTCTCAGTTGTAGTATTTGAACCTAAGAACTTAAGGGTTTATGGAGCTGGTACCATCTTAAAGTTTGTCTGTCCTGGGAAAGAGGACCAGTTACTACTTAACCATGACGTGCAGATGAGATAATACAATGAGTTTTGGTGCCTCATTTTGTTTCGGTTAATTTAGTGAATCTATGTTCTCAGTCTCATTGAAAAGAGATGGTATCTCAATGATGGGAGGCTAAGTATTCAATAGGGCTCCTCAGGCCGGTATCCCTGCCATGGCCTGGAGTCAGAGAGGGCATAAGATTGAGGAGGAAACCTCAAGATATGTCAGACATGATTAGAGGGATCTGGATACCCTGAAGTAGGGCTTGGCAGTTTGCCCCTAAAGAGAAAGGAGTTGGGAAGCAACTCCTTTGGTCATGTCAAAAGGGGTCAGGGCAGCTGTACGATAGAAGATAGTTGCCCATGTACAGTAAGCTTGGAATTCAGATGGAGTCCAGTTCAGATCCTCCGCACAGCAAAGTCTTAGGAGATAAAGGAGTGTTTCTCTTGAAATAGAGCAAGCTAAAGCAGACTGGGTAAGAAAGGCTAAGCTCTTCCAGAATCCTCTTCTGGGTGTGGATATACTTCGGGGGAGGCAGGCAAAGGAATGCTTTGTATGTATATGCAAGAGAATTGATAAGGAAAATTGAGTTAAGATGCGTACTGATTTAAATGAAGATCTACTAATTCAACTAAACAAAGACAGCTCATAAACAGTAGAGAAGCACTGTGCCCTCCTGCCGGGGATGGGTAGAGGTGTGGTTATTTAGCAGGGGTAGCTTGGTTGCTGCATCATGCATCTTCTTTGTTTACCCATTGGTAGTCACTTATTTTCATTAAGGCTGAAGGACCCCATGCTGGTTCTTACTTAGTTTCTTCATGCCATCCTCCTTCAACTCATCCACATTTGTAGTGATGGACTGAGCCTTGAGTATGAATAATAACGGAGTTTATCTCAAAGGCCGTATAAGGAAGGGCCTCTGAAAACGGGTTTTTGCCTTGTCTCCTTTCAGGTGCTTCTGGATCCAGCTGTGTGGTAGCTGCACTGGGAAACACATGGAGTCACTGTGTGAACACCCGACTGATTCTCCAGTACCTTGACTCAGAGAGAAGGCAGGTGAGTGAGTGTTCCCCTAGAGTTCTTCCAGTGTGAGGGAAACTTTGCCTGTCCTAACAGCAACTAGAATTTTAAAAAGGGGGGAAGGGAGGGGGAAGGAAGAGACTACACACAGAAAATCAGTGTAAGAGTGGATCCTGTGGAGTTAGCATCTCCTTACCGTTTGTGAATGTCCAGGGAGCACACTTGGAGTTTTAAATCCTCAGTCTCTAAGTGATTATGTCAATAGATATTTGTTGAAGACTAGCTAATCTGTGAGCAAATTAAATGGTGCCATGCTTTTTCTTAGCATGCATGTGTTTTGTGACCTTAAGATGGGCATCTTCTGCTAGGTTCTAGATACTTTTACATTACTGCAGATACTAGTACTTTAAAGTGCTAAATGATCTCAGAGGGTCCTCTGAATGTTTGATGACTTCTTCAAGGGAAAATCCCTCCATTCCGAAAGTAATACCGTTCACCCTTTTCTTAATCTTCTCTCCCAACTCCAGAGAAAGGAATGCTATAGTCTGATCTCCTCGAAATTCAGGAAGTTGACATCTCTTGATGCCCTACCCCAACTTTATTCCACTTTTTGACCAGACTGAATTGGCATCACTCATGAAAGAGGGCAAAGGAAAAAGACAGGGTGGGCACGCTGATGCTTTGAATGGGGGCAGAATTCAAGGCCAAATCTGATGACTAAATACATGGTAAATCCAGGTTAATAAAGGAGGTGGTACTGGGGAGGGGGTGCTTTCCAGAGGAGATGGAGCAGGATGGTGTTGCTTTTACCAGCAGGAGATAAATTGACCCTTTCTAGCAAGGAGGCAGGAATCATCTGATATAGATATGAACATTTGCCTTCTCCAGACAACTTTATAAATGTCCTTGGTTACAGACCAGAGGATTCTTCTTGGTTTTCTTGGGCCTGTGTAAATAACATTCCAGCCTGGTCACTGGGTCAGCCCTTTTCTGAGAAGATAAAACAGGTTATTTCCAAGCAAGGAATCATTCTTGTGTTTTCAGGGCCTGGCACATCTATTGTATCAGAGACATATTTTCACTGGTAATTCCAGTATCCTGGGCGCTCTGTCCAATACTTTTCTTGCTAGAATATTTCTGGAGAACCCAATGATCTTTGTTGTGTCCCTTAGGTGGTAAATGTTGATAAATAAACATTATTAGTAGCTATGAGATATAGCACTAATAATAGCAGCATTCTCTGTGAATTAGTGTTGGTGGGGGTAGGGGAGGGGCTATGTGATCACCAGGGCCGGCAGAGTAATGATCTACATGAAGCAAAAAGAAAACTCAGTTCAACACAACTTAGTTATCTGGTGTTGGTTCAAACTTCTAGCATCTGATACCAGGCAGTTTACTTTAGACACACTCAAGTACAGTGCAACTTTGGCAAAAAAAAAAGTTTCCTGGTGATAGTTATCTCAATCCTATGTGCGCAATAAAGATTAAGGCGTGACTACATGGAAACTCTTTTGCAAAATATATGTGACCTCTTCCATAAAGATGGATTCTATAGCTTAAGGGCCTCGGATATGGTGTTATCTTGGCTATACAGATAATATAGAGGTCAGCAGGCTATAAAGTACAAATGACATCTCCCTTAAGGATGGGTTCTATTCACTGAGAAACAAGATAAAGATACAGCTCTAAGGAGGAAGGGCCTGGAATAAACATTCTGGGGGGGGGGGTGTTGGTTGGTAGCAAAGGTCACCAGGTTATTAACTACATCCACTACCAGCCTTCTGGGTAGGGAACATGTATCCATCCCTTCCATTGGAGAGACAAGCCTATGTGTTTTAACATTCCTGGTTTCCCTAGTGCTTATCTGTGATTACAGAGACCTTTGCGTTCCCAACATTGGTGCTGATTCTTTCACTTCATGGGCCCTAGACCCTACTTGTTGAAAACCTACAGATCTCTGCCTTCTGTTTGAGATGGCTTCTTCCTATAACATACTGATTCTGTGGTCTCTCACATATAGTATTGTGGAATCAGGCTTCCAGATTCTAGTTTTTCTAATTCTAGATGTAATTTGTAAATAAATAAATTAAAACTATATTTTTGGTTTCCTTATGATAACATGTTCATCCATGTCCATATTATCAGAGCCAACAGGAAGTATTTGATAGAACAAGTACTGTTCTTTTTTATATCTTTGACTTGAAGATTTGGGTGACCACTGATCACAAGAAGCCCTAGGAACAAAGTGTGGCTAGATCAGTGGCAGTGTATGAATTCATATCCTATTAGATGGGTCATTGGTGTTATCTCCAAAGGAAAACAGGTTGCCCTGGTTACTAGTCAATCAGCAGCAGGCTTGAATGCTTTCAAGCCTGGCTTTCAAACAAAAGTGAACTATCAATGAAAATAAGACAGGACTACCAGTCCATACAAGAGAACATACATTTAATTTCTCTGTAGAAATAAATTGTTAAATTTGTGACCTAATACCGAGAATAATGTTTGATATAGGAGGCATGTCTCATTCATTCGGATTACCTTGTCTTGCCTTAGTAGATAGTGGGCTTAGTGATTCTCTTCGTCTTTCCTGTGGCCTTAGTTCATGACAAAGTATTGAAACCATGTGAAGATAAGGCTTTTTTGATGACATGAGCAACAAAACAATCCTTTAAAATTAGTCTGGACATACCTTCTTATTATATTTCTCAACAGGAGAGTGTGTAGGGCCATTCTAGGATAGCCATACCTCTGAGACACCAACTTCAAGATAGCAGATAGAGTTTTTGTTTCTTGGCTTTTGTTTTGTTTTGTCTTCAGTCTGCAAACAGAGACCACTCTAAAAAGCCTATGGAATGAGGAGTATGTTTTATCCTGCACCAGGGATATTGAATATAAGGCTCAGTCTGGGATCATAGGGCCAGAAGGGGTCAAGTTAAGCCAAACAGCCCAAGAGTTAAAGTGTATTGTCCAAGAGAAGGAGTCCACCTTGGCTGAATATTTTCTTTGCACCCTGGAAACTTTGTAAAATTATATAACTGGGAAAGAAACCTCCTTATCAGGGTACAAGCCAAGTTCAATGTCTTGTTTATTCTGCTTCAGCGTCTGCAAGATCCTTCTTAAGATGCTGAGATATGTTTTCCTTTAACTAATTCAGGGCTCTTTTCCACTTGGCTTTTATTTACTCCTTCCCTGTGCTGCTTCAATCCAGTTCTACCCATTTTACAATATTTTTCTTCTCACCAAAACCATGTCTTTAAGGTTGAATTAAAGAGGCTTCTACTAGGTTTACTGTAATCTTTGTCATTTTAAATCACTGAAAAATGCATGCAAGCTCACCATGCACATGGCATAGAGATGCCAGGAAGCTCTGCTCTCAAGTGCCTTCCAGTCAGGGATGGAAGACTTTATATATTGCACATGTATGCACTCGTGAATAATCAAGGGAGTCCAGAGTGAGGGATGCTGAGACATCATCACAGGCAGTGTCTGTCTTATTCCTGTGTGAATGGCTGAAACAGTAACTACTGTGAATCTAAAGAAAGATGAAATCATCAGGGGCATCTTTTGAAGATACCAGGAAGAGGGTGGGACATGAGCAGTTCCAACCAGTAGTTCTCAAGCCTGACTGCACTGCAGCTTCAGCATGACAGCTTTTATAAGATACCAAAGCCAAAACTCCACACTGATGACATAAAGCAGCAAAATCTCTGCCTGGGAAGGGGCAGCAGGGGCGCACACATGGACCCAAGCATTGGTTTCATGTGTAAAGCTCACCCAGGTGGCTCTAGTGTACCACCAAGGATGAGAGCATGTGTTTTAAATGACAGATAACCAAGGATAGGCAGGAAGGGGAGATGTGAGGATGGTCCCCAGCACACAGAAGAATAGCAGGGAGCTGCTCATATCTGGTGGCACAGACTGGATTCTGCCTTGTAATTGAGCAGAGGGTTCCTCTCAGCATTTGTTTGACAAATCTTTATTGAACCGCCTCCATGTCTGTTCATTACTGTGGAAGATGCTAGAAGCAAAGAACTAAAGGTAGCCAATTCCCCCTCGTTGCTTAGCATACTTGGAATGACAACCACGGGAATGGTATGTTCTACAAGAGCATCAATAATTAGTAAATGTAGAGGCGACAGAAGGCTCTGCCACTAATAAAGGTTCTGGGATGATTAAAGAGACAGCAGCATACACAGTGAATTGGCCAAGACCAACATTTGGGAAGTTCTTGAAGTACCAGGTTCCTTGTGATGACTCAGAAAGTTCTAGTGTGGGTGGCTATGCTTGAAAATGATGCAAAACCTGATGGAACATCAGAGTATTTTTCATCAAATCCTCATGAAGTCTGTTCCTACAAACCACATATGGCATTATATAAATTTTGAAGTGCCCTAGAAGAGTAATGAAATAAATGAATCCCGGCTAAACCTCACACCCTCTTCATGAAATAAATATTATGACTTTCTTATTTCAACAGATTGGAAGTTGGTGACCTTTTCATATAGGCAGTTTATTTGAATAGTAATAATATTTTCATCTTCTACTCAGGAGGCACCCTAAAGTTATTGAACACTTGAGGGAGGGGCCAATATGTTGTTGACAGAACCAATACTATCACTCAAGGCCCTAATCCTGATTTGGATCTGTGGCTTTTCTCAATGCCATAGGTTGTTTGCATCTTGGACTTGTGTCCTTATTGTTTCTTTTCTGATGATGGACTTCTCTCAGAATCCATTTTATACTTTTCAAAGACTCAGACACTGTCACTGTGAAGACACAAGCCTTCATTGACCCCACTTTCCTCCGGATCACAGCTTGTATCAGGCATGTACATCTCTTGCTGTATTCACAAGCTCTGATTAGGACCCCCATTGAAGACGTAGCTTCGGAGCGAATGACGTTGTCCGACACACAGGTAATATCTTTGTTCTGAAAGAAGGCGAAAAAGGAAGAGGCGCTAAGGCAACAGGATGCCAGTTCCAGGCCAGTTTGGGCTATTTGTGAGCCATTGTCAGAAAACAAATGGAGATAAAAGA